AAAAAAGGAAAACTTACACCGACAAAACCCCCCAAAAATTCACCTCTGCGCAGTAACAATGGCCAGCGAGGCTCAAAACCCACAACATTCACTTGCGATAATTGTCGTCTCCTTCTCTCTCTCTCTTCTCACCCCAATAAATACTCAAACCCTACTTCCACCATTCACCATCTCGCAACCCTCCTCGTCTCTTTCGGCGATCGAGATTGGGCGTCGTTCCCAATCATTTCCCAAGTTTCATCCCTTTTACTGCTCAGTCTAACGAGGACTCTGTCGGCGGTGATCGTCGATCGCCGCCGTAAGCAATGTCGTCCGGCAGGTACATGGCCTACTCGCCGTCCCCCTCCGCATCTCACTCTCCGCACATCGGCGCCGCTGGCGGCAGCGGCGGAGTTATGCGTGCTGCCGCCTCTGTGCTCATGGAGCAAGAAAAGTAATCTCTTGTTTCTTTTTTCAGGTTTAATTATGTCGGTTTAAGGGTATTGTAGGGGGAGATCTTGTGGAGCCCAACAGCTCCCTATCCATTTCCGTTACTGTAGTAGTGTTTTTATTCTTCAAGTTGCATTCTTTCTGATGTCAGCCATGGAAACTTGTTTATAGGTGAATTCTGTTATGAAGCTAAATTTTTCTACTTAAGAATGCTGAAAATGGTGTTTTGCTGGGCAGGTACCTATCCGAGTTGCTGTCTGAACGCATCAAAATCATTCCTTTTGTGGCTGTGCTCCCAAATAGTTATCGTTTGCTGAACCAAGGTGAGTTTTTGAGGATTCAATAATCCGTAAGTATCTCGGTACCTGTCTGAAAACAAGTGTATGACTGAGTTATGCAATATTTGATTAGAATCAAGTATATACTTCGATTTTCTTGTGCTAGAACTTTGGAAGAATCAGTTGGTTCTTCCAATATCAATAGGTTGATTGAATTACACGTTTTTTTTTTTTTTTTTCAATATAGTCTGATTGCATGAGTGCTACTGCCATCCACAAGAAAGTCAAGAAGAGTAGAAGACACAACATTCTTTTGAACTTTCTCATATTTTATCGCGTAGTGTACAATTGTTTACGGATGTTACCTAGAGAATCGTTTTGTTCCTTTTATTTCCTGTTGGTGATTTTCTTTTTCTGTTCCTGGCTTGTAAAAACCTTGTCAGAAGCTCAAAAGCTCTTCTATCGTTACTTCTATACAAATTGTCATTGCGAAACTAGCCTTATTAGGCGTGTTACTCGTGGCCTTTAACTCTGACTTGGTTGTTCTAATCAGTTTGGCATATGAATGTGTATATTTCTCAGCTTTAGGTTTCTTTATAGACGTGATCATACCCTGTGGCTACAATTAACTGACAATACTTAGAATATTTTGGTGAAAGTCTTCTGATCTGACATATTGATTTTTGACTACACCATTAGACTGATTTCTTAACTAGTGCTAACTGGTTACATTGTTCTTGAAAATTCACCTGTTTGAAGCAGAAATACTGCGTGTAACTAAGCTGTTGGAGAATGCATCAATATTAGAACATAATGGGTTTGAACAAGCTAGTCCTATGGCTTCAGCAGGAATATATACAAATGGAGGAGCTAACAACAGACGACCATCACCATTTCAATCAGAAGTACGGATACTAACTTCGACCTAACCTTTGTTTGTGTTCAACTCTTTACTGCATTTTAGAGTCTGTTAAAAAAATTATCTCTTTACAGTTCAAACTAACTATAATTCTCCATTTGATGCTTCTGACTATCAGTTTTATCACTCGACAAGTAGTTTTGAAGCTAACATCTATGAAAAAATAACCAAACTTTATAGCTGAGCATATTAGATATGGTTTTTGGTCATCTTTTTGTTGAGATTCTAACATCTAGCATGCTACTTCTATTACGTTGCGTGCCTCTTTAAATTACAATATGCCAGGTCCGGTTAACTGTGTTTCTTTTATAGTTTTCACCATGATTGCATTTGAGTGACGAAGACCTGACTGCTTTTGGCATTGGTCAGGCTTTATCTTTACATGTTCTCCTTCTAGCATATCCTGTGTTAACATTAAAGTTAAAACTCATCCAACATTAAAAAATAAATCATTTTCACATATCTGATTTCTTTTGGGTTGTCAAACTGTCGGATTGTTCCATGTGCTTTTGTTTATGTTTGTGTTCTGTTTTCCCTTCCTGTTTATCCGTTCAGGTTTCTAATATCCTTTAATGAACTTAGTTTCCTCAGCTTCCATGTAAGAGGATTGAAGCAACTCGTAATAATTTTCTCATTAAAGCATGCTTATAATGATTCCTTTTCATTATATCTGAATTACAACATGCAGGTGACGAGTTTGATGCAGCCCTCTTCCACAAATAATTGGCTTGGCTCCCATGGTAGCCCGTCAGGTCTTATAGTCAAGCGTCTGGTCAGAATCGATGTTCCAGTCGAACAATACCCTAATGTAATTATCTATGTTCCCATTCTAGTGTATTCATTATGCATGTCTCTGTCACATGTTTTCTTTTTGGTTAATCAGTTATTTATTTTGTATGGTTTTGCAGTACAATTTTGTCGGGCGCCTCCTTGGACCTAGAGGAAATTCTCTAAAACGAGTTGAAGCTGCTACTGGGTGCCGTGTTCTAATCAGAGGACGTGGCAGTGTCAAAGATCCAGAAATGGTAAACATTTGGATATATAATTAAATTAAAATACTGATTCTGTATAATGAAGTAGCTTGTGCTATACGAAGTATCTTTTTTTTTTAAATGTTTTTGCCAGTTGCCTGTTGAAGCAGGTACAGTTTTCAAGATGCTATTGTATTTATATTTATTTTTCATTTTTTAAGTGATCCTTTGTGGAAAATACCTTTATCAAGTTGCTATTTTCTGGTAGGATCAAATTGTGCACACTTGGTGCCAAAGATTGATTATTTTGAACTTATGAATCTGTTGCGAATACACTCACTTAACTTCCAACACGAGAAAGAAGGAATAGCCTATTTCTTGTGCATGCTGAGCTTTTTTTTTTATAACAACTCCTGATTATTCAATCAACACATTGCTATTGTTTTATTTACTTCTGTTGTGTGTGTGTGTGTGTGTTAACTTATAGGTCAAGTAATAGTGATTTTATGTGTGTTTTTATGATCGATCTCTGAAGGAAGCGGCAGTGAGAGGAAAACCAGGATATGAGCACCTTAGCGAGCCCCTTCACGTACTTATCGAGGCAGAGATGCCAGTTGAGATAATCGATGCTCGTGTTGGGCAAGCGCGTGAGATAATTGAAGATTTACTTAAACCAATGGTATAGCCTTCATTTTACCAATCAATCAAACTTGCTAATTCTTTCTTTCTTTTCTTTTCTTTTCTTTTTTTTTTAAAAAAAAAATCTTCACGCCTCTAAAAAGATGTCGTTTACCAAAAATTTGCTCGGTCCGTTATCTATTGAGATTAATCTCTTGTTGCAGGACGAATCTCAAGATAAATATGTTCTTTTACCAAAAATTTGCTCGGGCCGTTAATTATTGAGATTAATCTCTTGTTGCAGGACGAATCTCAAGATTACTACAAGCAGCAGCAGTTACGTGAACTCGCCCTGCTCAATGGTTCAGTATCTCCATTCAACAGCAGCCTCGGAATGAAAAGGGCCAAAATCGGAGGGTGATTTATGATCTTAAAATCCACACCTTATATTTGTGAGCTCGACAATATTCCAGTGGGAAAAAAAAGGGCAGTTTCACTCTTGCCCTCAGGGTCTAATGGCACTGGTGAGGCATTCGGTGCCTTCCGAGCGCCAGTTTGACTATTATATATAACCTTGTTTTGTTGCTCGTTCGGGTCGTATGGATGAAGGGTTTTTCGGGGGGTGTCTCTCGTTAGCGTAGTCTTATTATTATTATTTTTTATTTATTATGCAGTGTGCTTCAAGAGTTTTTGGTGATGGAAAAGTGTAATTTGTACCTGAAAAAAAATAAAAAAAAAATAAAAAAAAAAACTTGAAATGCTTCTCACCTTGGTGTCTTTTAATGTTGAAATTTAAAGAAACAAAAGGGGATGTGAGGAGATTATGTTTTCCTCTTACATTGTGTATTATTAATTTATTATGTGTATGTTTTTTTGGCTTGGATGAGTTAGGTTTATTATATTTGCTGCATATATTATATATCTTAATGAGTTGCTTTTGTACATTACATTAATCTTTTGTAAAAAATATATGTATATGAAAGGTAGATACAAGAAAAAAGAAGAAAAGCTGGGCAGCAGCAAATCAAAGAGTTATCACTGGTGTGCCAAATTATTTCTGAAAGCCAAATTTGCAAAAAATCAGATAAAACATGATTTTTTCGATTTCGAAGCTTTCGTCTTAATCACGCATGCTCAGCTTCATTGTCATCAGCATCTTCAATCCCGACCCAATGCGTGAAAGCAAAGAGAAACTCCTTAAAATTAACCATCCCGTTCTTGTCCCAATCCATCTCCTCTGCAACCAAATGCAACGTAATAACCGTCAAAATTTTCCCGAATGATACTAAGTAATTTCAGAGAGAGAGAGAGTGAGAGAGAGAGAGAGACCGAATCTTTTCATGGCTATTCTCCCGGAAGATCTTTCTCCCGAGTTAGTCTCGTTAATGGCATCAATCATCTCATCTCTGCTAACACAGCAATCCCGGTTTTTATCCAGGAAAACAAACGTGTCCACTATCGTTTCAAAAGTCGCCCCAAGACTCGGCATTCCTATCTGAGGATTTCAATAAAAAGAGGATTTAAATATCAACATAAAAAAAAA